CCCCCCGCCGCCTTTCGGATTTCTGTCCTGGAGGGTGTGGTTTACTCTCCCACCTCGGTCCCTTCCAGTTCGCGGAGCTCCCCCGCCACGCTGTCGCTCCCTTCCTGCCAGGCTTTCCGTTTTCACGCCCGCGGCTAGTCCTGGGACTGGCCCTCTAGAGCCCAACTTCTGCGCTCTCTAACCTTTTCCGGCTTGCCCAGAGGCATAGTTCAGTTCTACTTCTTTTCAGTTAGAGAGCTTTGGTCTTACAGTTCGGACTCAGTTTTCCTCTTCACTCCTGGTTCCTGTTGTCCGCTTGTGTAACAGTTTATTTTCTGTCCGGTAGGTTTGTGAGCGCTTTATAAACTGTAAAGCACTGTACATGTAGTGTTACTCTGTTACTGATGCATAAAACTCAGTTTGCCTCTAAGTCACTTTCTCACCCCTCTTCCCCAGTTTTTAATCTGATCAGTTTGCACAGGCATCTCTCAACTGTCACCACTGTGGGCTCTTGTCTTTAGAGGTTGATCCCTTCATCATTTCTTTCCTGTTTGACATAATCTGTCACCACCACTATTGGACATTGTTTCTAATCTCATATCCAAAATATATGGTATGTTAATATTTAGCTTTACTTTATCTGTGGTTCAGGTATACAAAAAAATATTTAGACTTAACATCTTTATTTTTTTTTAGAGACAGAGCCTTACTTTGTCATTCTCGGTAGAGGGCTGTGGCGTCAAGGCTCACAGCAACCTCCAGCTCTTGGGCTTAGGCGATTCTCTTGTCTTAGCCTCCCGAGTAGCTGGGATTATAGGCGCCCGCCACAACGCTCGGCAATTTTTTTTTGTTGCAGTTTGGCCGGGGCTGGGTTTAAACCCACCACCCTTGGTATATGGGGCTGGCGCCCTTCTCTCTCAGCCACAGGTGCTGCCCTAGACTTAACATCTTATTCTAGCATCTATTTATCCTAATAGTTGAGAGTTTTTTGTTTTTTTTTTGTCCAGGTCTCACTGTCTCCCTGGGTAGAGTGTTATGGCATCATAACTCACAGCAAAATCAAACTGTTGCCTCAGCCTCCCAAGTAGCTAGGACTGCAGGGTCTGCCGCAATGTCCGGTTATTTTTAGAGAGGGGTCTCACTCTGGCTCAGGCTGGTCTCAAACCTGGGACCTCAGGGCAGTCCACTGGCTTGGGCCTCCCAGAGTACTTGGATTACAGGCATGAGCCACAGTACCAGGTTTTAAACAATTCTTTTTTTCTCTTTTTTAAAAATCTCTCTTTTTTTAGACGATCTTGCTATGTTGCCCAGGCTGGCCTGTAACTCCTGGGCTCAAGCGATTCTTCCATCTCAGCCTCAGCACACCAGGCTAGTTGGGAGCTTCTTTAGGTCTTCATAAGGTATTCAAAGATTGTCTTTTTTTTTGAAAGGCATATTATCAACTTTTTGGGTGAAACCCATTCTTACATTTTCTCTTCCATTATGATAGCAATTTTTTCACCATGGGGTGTGCCACTAGTTCGAGTGTTTCTCACTTTTTCTTACTGTGAATTGTACTTCCTTTTTACTGTTATTTTGTCAAATGTGGATGGAAGGTGAATGCCATACCCAAGCTCTCCTGTGTCTTAAGCATTGAGTGGGTACATTGGTGGTCCACATCTATTTCAGGAAAAGGAATAAATTTCACTCTCTGGAGATGATGGTCTTCTAGTATACCAACATCCCTTGCCTGCCTTCAGAGCACCTTGGCTAGAGCTGTATTCCCATTGTTGTGAAGACTTCTCTTACCATTAGGCAAAGGTAATTAATAAGTTTCCCACATAGTTCTTCTGGACTTGCTTCCAATTTCCCCTCCTGATTTTCCTACTTATAGCTAGTTAACACATGTGATGAGAAATTTTTTTTCTATATACTTCTATCTTTCTTTTTTCCTGCAGCTCTGATTTCTTCTGTTTGCCTTCTCTGTTGCCTCTGACCTTTAATAATTATAAAACTTTTCAGAGATAGGAAGTTTTTTGTCATGACTGACATAAGACTGGAAGTGGTGGCATGGGAGGGAATGAGGCCATGGGAAAGGGTTGTGATAGTTGCCCCTCTTGCCTGTTTCCTGTTGCTCTGGTTTTCTCTGGCTTGTCTTTAAATGTGGGCTGGACCAGCCATAGTCACATGGCTGCCTTTAGAACTATACCGGAACAACACTAATAACTCTGCTTCCCTTTCCTGGTAACCAGTGCACCTTGTGCAGTGATAACCAGGAGTGACTGAGTGACTTACTGTTTAACTGAGTGAGTGCCTGAATGATTTACTGTTTGAGGAGAATAGGTTTATTTACTTGTGTTTTGATGGGAACTTGTCTCTATATCTGCCCTCTTAAGTATAAAGTGTGTGTAGAAAGTATAAAACTGTCTTGAAGGGTTTAAGTGTTCTGAAGTGAAGCCTTTACTGTTTTATTTTCTTTTTTTGAGTTTGAGATAGGGTCTCATCCTATTGCCTGGGCTAGAGTGCAGTGGCTCTCACATAGCTCACTGCAATCTCTAGCGTCTGGGCTGAAGTGATCCTGCTTCAGCCTCCCAAGTAGCTGGAACTCCATGAGCATGCCACCATGCCTGGCTGATTTTTCAAATTTCTGTGTATGGGGTAGGGTGGTGGTCTTGAACTTCTGGCCTCAAGCAGTCCTTCCATCTTGGTCTCCCAAAGTGCTAGGATTATAGGTGTGAGCTATCTTGCCTAGCTTCCAAATTCCTCACTGGCTCTGGCAACAAAGTATTACTAAATAACTCTACTATTATCTTCTGCCATGTTCTTTTTTTGCGGGGCGGGGAGGATAGTCTCACTGTGTTGCACTTGATAGAGTGCCGTGGTTTTATAACTCACAGCAACCTTAAACTCTTGGGCTCAAGTGATCCTCTTGCCTCAGCCTCCCAAGTAACTGGGACTACAGGTGCCCCCCACTACTTACTCCCTGGCTGTTTTTAAGAGACAAGGTCTCACTCTTCCTCAGGCTGATCTTGAACTCCTGAGCTCATGCAATTCACCCACCTTGGCTTCCCAGAGTGCTAGGATTACAGGGGTAAGCCCCCATACCCCACAGAAACTCTATTTCTTTCTTTCTTTTTCTTTTTTCTTTTTTTTTTTTTTTTTGCAGTTTTTGGCCGGGGCTGGGTTTGAACCACCTCTGGCATATGGGGCCAGCGCCCTACTCCTTTGAGCCACAGGTATTGCCCATGGAGACTCTATTTCTTAAAAAAAAAAAAAAGAAAAAGTTGTCAAATGTGGTGAGAAGGGAGGGAAGAGTAGAACAGGGAGTTCAATCTGTAACTGACTGAACAAGTGAGATAACTCACTACCTTGGACCTGCCCCTAGTACTTTTGTTATTTACCCTTTTTTACACTCTAAATCTTGTTCATCAAATCATTCCTAGGTATTATGGAGACTTTTACAGGCTCAGAATTTCTTCTTGTTAGTAGTCTATTTCTCCCTCTGTATCTTTTTTAATTCTCTCCTACTTTCTCTTTTCTTTGTTCTCTCCTTTTTCTTTTTGTGCCTTTTCTCTCTCTCTCTCTCTCTCTCTCTCTAAGAGACTGGTTTTGCCTCTGTTGTCTAGGCTACTGGAGTGTAGTGGCCAGAGCATAGCTCCACAGCTCATTATAGCCTTGAACTCCTAGGTTCAAGCAATATTCCTGGCTCAGTCTCCTGTGTGGCTGGGAATACAAGTGCTCACCACCATGCTTTGATAATTAGAGATGGGATCTCCCTGTGTTTGTCCAGGCTGTCTTGAATTCCTGCCTCCTGCTTCAGCCTCCCAAAGTGTTGGGATTACAGGCCTGGGCTGCCATGTCTGGCCTCATTTCTAATTTTTTGTGATTATAAATTATACTTGTCTTCTTGTGGACATTCCCTCAAAAAAGAAATTTCATTTTCTCGAGACTGTATGTAATTGAGAATGGAATTTTTGGCTTGTGTGTAGGGTATGTACAACTTTACTAGATGATGCTAAACTGCTTCCCATGTGTTGTAGAGTTGTTTTCAGTCAGGCTCCTCATCTGAACTATAGAATACAGAAAACTGAGTAACTGTTTTCTCAATTCTCTTGAGAATAGTACATACTAATACCATCATAGATGTCTAGGGAAGAAGATGAGTTCATACATGTAATGGATATCCAAAGAGTTCTTCTACATTCTTGCCAATGTTTGATATTGCTATAATTTTTAGTTTTAGCCAGTTACAGTGGGATGTTTTATTTTTATTTATTTTATTTTTTTATTTTTTTTGAGACAGAGTCTCATTATGTCACCCTCGGTAGAGTGCTGTGGTGTCACAGCTCATAGTAATCTCTGGTGTCACAGCTCATAGTAACCTCAAACTCTTGGTCTTAAGTGATTCTCCTGCCTCAGCTTCCCAAGTAGCTGGGACCACAGGTGCCTGCCACAAGGTCTGGCTATTTTTTGGTTGCAGTTGTCATTGTTGGTTAGCTGGCCTGAGCTGGGTTCAAACCGCCTCAGTCTATGTGTCTTGGGCCATAACCACTGTGCTATGGATGCCCAGTGATAGTGGGATATTTTCGATACATTTTTAATGAACACCACATACTCTAATTTTGCTTTAATATAACATGGTAACTTTGGCACAGAGACCATTCAGTCTACTGTAATTACATTTTGGATATGTGGGTCACTACAAAAGTTTTGAGACAGATTGTGTAA